GCTCCGAGTGGTTGTCATGTTGCTCGTGCTCGCTCGGTCCCTTGCTTGGCTGATTGGCGTGATGCAAAAATAAAAGAGACATTGAAACTATTCAAAAATTCAGGAGGTTACCAGAATGAGAAGGTCATCATTTGTTTTTTTTCTTTTAGGTTTGGTTTTGTTTGTTTTTATTCATGTTGAAATGGAAAACTAAATTCTCTATAACATGTCTTTAAATAGGTTGCTGTTAATTTTGTTGTTGCAGAGCAAATGCCACCATCAGTACAAAGCGAGGGAATGAAAATTATTGATGATAGTCGGATTTCAAAAATTGAGACAACTGTTTGTGACATTAAAAGTATTTTGGAAGAACTAGTTGTCATTGTTAAAAGTGGAATGGCTAATTCTTCCATTCCCAAGGTCATGGAAAGATTGGAGACACCACAAATGCCAAAGCAACGAGAAGTGGATCACAACCAATGTAATAAATTAGCTGACATAGTTGCACATGGAGTTGTAGAATCTATGGTTGTACCTATAGTTGAACATGTGACCAATGTGCTCCCGCCAAAACATGATGTTGTGGTAGAATCTACGGTTCTACCTACAGTGGAACATGTCACCCCTGTGCTACTGCCAGAACCTGCTGTTATGGAAGCATCAAAAAACACGGATGAAAATAGAATTCTGCTCGCACCATCAATCTTGAAATTGGATTCCCATCTTCATGATCAAACCACCCAGGTTCAAAAACAAGTAACAAATTCACCATTATTTTATTCCATTGATGGTTCTTCTGATACAAATGGTGCTCCCATTACACATCAGATACAAGGGAGGAATAATAAGCAAAACAAAATGACAGTGGGATTGAAGAATAAGCGATGGAAAAAAAATCCAAAACTCCAACTTGTTGATGAATCTAGTTCATCAACTGGTCCATATGGCGGTCGGTGCACTCGACGTTCAGATGAGAGGGTGGAAAGTCAATATGTGTAGTCACCTTATATAGCGATCGCTAGTAACAAGAGAAAAGCCATTCCAAAAAAGCCAACCCAAACAATACTTGACTTCAATGCAGCAGATTCGTCTCTCGATACAAAGGATGATAAGTTTGATCAAGTACGTCATGTAGATTATATATGTATTATACAATGTTATTCATTTGTGATACTCTATTTCATGATTTTTGGTTTTTTATTTTTGGTTGCAATTTGTGGTAGAGTTTGAACTTACTTGGAAAACTACTTGGCGCCAATTTCGATGCTATTGAAGTTATTACTCATTCTGTTATTGTACTTGATCTCCAATCCCCTATAACACACTGTACGAAGTTTGACAATTTGTTATTTATGTATTGGGTTATATTCACAAGTCATCCACTGCACGAATTGTAAGGCCATGTCCTTTATCTGCCGAGGAAAAAATTCTGAAGGAATATTGTTTCGATAAGGATTTGGAAGACAGGTAATTTTATTGAGTTTATATGTTCCTCTATCAATTAACAGTAAGTTTAACCCTTCAATTTTCACATGATTCAGTGAGGATATTGTGGTGATGGAGCTGTTTTACACGCCGATTGAACTTGCCACCCGCTTAGATTTGTGCTCATTACAACCAAAAACCTGGATTCGTGGTTCCGTAAGTGTTCATTTCATACGTCAATATTGCTATGTGATGTCATTTTCAATGATATAGTTCTGAAATTATTATTTGTTGCATGTATTGTAGATTATCAATTTAGTTGTAGCAAAATTGACAAATGCCCAAAGAAGGCTTTTTTCGGATAAGTGTCATAGTGCATGGTACTTTCCCACATATGTATCGGTGAGTAGTATAGTGTGTCATGTTTATGTTTGGGTGTTGATGTACACTTACTAAAGCATACTTGTACATTATTGAATGTAGCAACATATTTTGAATGGGACGGACCATGCAAAGCTATGCGATGAATATTTTGGGAAGTCTCGATACACTGGGAAGCTTCATGCTTGTGAAGAAGTAATGGTCAAGCACTCTTACATTTTGCACGACTATTCTAAATATCCTCTCAATTGTACTGCTATTATTAAATTTTTAATATCTGTTTTATGGCATTATTATTATTTATTTATTTTTTATTTTCTAAATTGGTTGGGCAACATTGCACTAAGTTTTGTTATTTTTGTTGCTTAGATATATATTCCGGTGAATGACAATGGAGAACATTGGTTTTGTGTCAAGATAGATATGGCACATCGCATGGCCTATCTATTTGACTCGCATCCTAGTCGCACAAATGATGAAAGTCGAGAATTAATGGCAACGAAACTGGTAGGCCATTTAATTTTTTTTTTTTGTTTTGTCTTTGGTAAAATAAACATCATAATCTATATTACTACACTCATGCATAGGTTCAAGAAATGCATTTGTTATTGCAACACTATTTTGGAGACCAATATGTTGCAAATGTCAAGGAATTTGAATTAGAGAGATTGAAAGACCCTTGTCTCCAACATAAGACTGATAGGTATACTAAAAAAATTATTCCTTCACTCTCTAATTTTGGCTCTCCTATTAATATTACACACAAGGTTGACCTTCACATGCATCTTTTCATGAAGTTATGACTGTGGTATGTTCGTCATAAAGTATATGCAAGGTGTTGTCATGTCGACCGGCGTACACAAGGTGACTATTTAATGTTTAACCACATAATTACACTACTACAATTACATTGTCATATGATGGTATTGTTGATGGTATATTGTCTGTTCTATTTCCTCAATTTGATAAGGTGAAAAGGTTTAGGCTGCTAGTCGACCTAGTGAAAGATTTGTCGAACAGTAAGTATATTGATGTTATGGATCGGTTGGACACATACAAAGAGAGGTACGTCCCCAAAACCATGAACAACTTATGCCCTTCATAAGCTCAGCTCATTACTTATGTAATTTCCTTTTGAACAGGTACGTTAGGCTCCGGAAGGCCACAAGGAAAAAGAAAGATTGATAACAAACATCATTTTTGCCACTAAGTTTTTTTTACAATTATGAGCATATTTTATGGTTGAAGAAGCTTGGACGAATGTAACTAACTTGGTTTGGCAATTTTTTGTGGATGCTTGAATAAGTATATTTGTTTGGGATTTTTTTTACCAATTTCTATGGAATATCTACTTAGTGCTAAAGATTGGTGTGATGAAACTACATCTGATATGTAATTGTGAAGCAGTACTCTTAGTTGTTACAATTACAATCACTCAAAAAATTCATAGGAAGGCTTTGATTGTTTACAATTTGTTTTACAAGTGAAGAAGGAAAAATTCATCTTGATTGTTTTACAATTTGTTTTAAAATTCATATTTTATTTTATTTTTTTAACTTTTTAAATCAAATTAATGTAGATACACTTAAAAAGATGCAAAAATTGTGAAAATATTTTTTTGTAAATCACTAAAAACAAAAATAAATACATGGAATAAGCTCCCACCTTAGGGTGCCAGAGCATCAACTAAACCAGTGCAACATTGTATCATATCCATCCAAAAGAGCATCCAACTACTATGGTAACATCAACATGATAGCATAAACAAAAATATGTCAATGACCAAACTATTAACATTACTCCCAAACATGAGTTAGTGCAAACAAAAACAAATTTCAGACTATTAAGGTTCTTTCATAATGTCATCAAGCATAACCACCAGAATAGAACAAATAAAAAAAGAACCACCACAATAAAATATAATCACATTTCCGGATCAAAGCGATGTTAGAAGTATATCTGTATGGGAAGAAATGGAAAAGCATTTATAATTCAGACCAAAAAAAAGAATCTCCACTGGGCTCCTATATTCAGTACTTGGCTATTGAACTCCAAATCCTATACAATCAAAATGTGACACAAATCAATTGTTAAAAAAATCGGATCATGTCAATTCTTCCCACAAATCGCATGATCTCTTTGTAAAATGAAGCCTGCTCTTTTCTAGCAACTGCCAAAGATCTATCGTTAGAAAAAGCTTCTTCGACTATGTAGCTGCTGCTGCTGCTAATAATAATGAATCTATTGAAATATGAGCACTGAATTACACTATAAAGAATACCCTAATTAGACCATGAACAGGTACTTCAAGTCCTCTACTGTAAGCCGAGTCTGACGACTACTTGTCTCGTCCTCGCCAAATGCAGATGCAACCATCAATAGAAAGTGAGTACTCAGCATCAGCATTGAAAGGAGATATAGAATACAGATACTAAGTTTGGACCATAAGCCAAATATACGTGATTGATTTAACATAACAAAAGCTTTTCTCAGGAATAGGGAAAAATATATGAAGTAGCAATGTCCTATTCAGATTTCAATAATTCGGTTACCTGTCAGATAATAATAACCCTCTACACACTTGAATCTGTAAACAATGCCATCACTAACTATAAAATATTGTTTACAACAGGTGTGAGAGGATCTTCATCCACAATTATTATATGGGTAAATTACATTGAATCTCACAAGTTTGGCATAAACACACCAACCTCCCTTTTAGTAAAGGGGACCAATTCACAACACCTATCCACACCTTTTTTGCTTATTTTGTTCTTACAGGAACATAAAATTGCGATATAATGCTACTAAGGTTTAACTGGGCTACAAATAAAATTAAGGAATGATAAATTTTGTAAAGATGGTGTTCATTGAAGAAACCAAGCAACCATTATTAGTAAGTAAATCAGTTTTATCCTTACCAATGCCTTCACCAGCTGTTATAAAAGACCCTGTTCAACATCTAAAATACCTCTACTACCATATGTTAATCAAGTACAAAAGTTCTCAATCATAGTCTCATCATATTATAAAATCAATTACTCATTGCAAACAATTAATGAAAAGAAAAGTAAAAGCAAGCATAACAAATCCAGTGCCAATAATAATGTGACAGCAGATGGTGAACATTTCTACACTACCTTAAAAAATCTTACGAATTTTACATTGACAATGGAAAAAAACAGGCCACGAGATTGGAGCAAAAAAAATAATACCTGAAGAGCTAAAATGCGATCTTCAACTGTATTTTTTACTGTCAACCGCAAAACTGTAACCGAACGGGTCTGTCCAATCCGATGGGCTCTATCTATTGCTTGATCTTCAGTTGTTGGGTTCCACCAGAGGTCCAGAAGAAGAACACGACAAGCTGCAACCATGTTCAGTCTTTAGAATTTTTACATTCCAATCATTTTCCTTCTCCTCATTTCCCCTCTAATCTACACCTTCGTCAGCGACTCTAGCACCAATTCCCTCACAAGCCCACACCATCCCCTGCCAAGACCCCCCTCCGTGCCCCCATCTCTGACAACTAGTTTCGCCTACCCACCGGGGCCATCCGATCGCTGAGATAGAGCCAAGGAAGTTAAACAAGATTTTATCAATTGTCCACATAAATTATCACAATAAGGAATAATTTGGCACACCACCACCAATTGCAAAGGACATATACCAAAACAAAAGGGTGGCAAAGAACAACAGGTTATACAATTACATAAAACTTCTATGACTATCCTTTTGCCTTCTTTCCCTGGGGGTGGGGCCACAAATAACAAAACAAAAAGTAAACTGGGCACTGAGTTTCATACTAGTATGCTTAGAAAAATGACAAATTGCCTGAGACACAGGCAGGCAGGAAAGAAAATAAAGATTGATTGGATAAAAACATTCAACAAAAAGAGACCAATCATAAGTGCCCAGTTTCAAAGCACAGGACGAGAAAATTGATAGCAATTGTATATTTTAATGCCAATATTTTAAGCATAAGAGACCAATCATAAGTGCCAAGAAACCAAAAAACGAACCATCACACTAAATTTGAGTGTCAAAACTAAGATTAAGATATTACAACTACATATCAGGAAATGATTCTCCAAGGTCTAGCAGGCTTACACTTCTGAAATACCGTCAAGTATTTCAACAAAATGATTTGGGATTTATTCACCTTTATTTTTTAAATGAATCCCCAAACTAAGAAATTTACAAGTAGAACAAGGTAGACAAATGTCAATTTTGATAAGAAAACGAGGCAATTTCAAAAAATCAAAACTGAAATATGAAGGGAGCCCCACACGTTTGGGGTGACATAGCCATATCAAAACTGAAACTGATTGTAAACTCATCCAAGGTAAGGACAGCTCATCCAACTTAAGGACAATATTCGAGCAAACATATTTGGGAGTTATTTACCTTTATTTTTTAAATGATTCTCCAAACTAAGAATTTATGGATATTGTGAAAGATAAAAACACCTAAGACATCAACAAAACGTAACTAATATGCACTAATGTCTCCTTGCAAAAACAATGTATCAATCACTATACGGCTCATCATAAAACTAAACTACACTTGAGAATTTGTCGGTCCATCAATATCTTCCATGTGGGGCTCCAACTCTGTGTTCAAGATTGTTTTAATGTCTGAGTCGCTACCCTCTCTCCGGCTAGTTGAAGCCAATTTTTTACACGTTCGCTTCGTGTGTCCGATGCTCCTACAATAGCAAATAACGCATAAACAATTTTAATAATCATGTACATGCAACAGGATGAAAAAAGGACATGCAATTAAAGTACCATACCTACAATACCCACAGCGCCTTGGTTTTAGAGGTTTACCCATAGAAGATGTCCCTCCGGGGTTCCCTTTGGTCTTCACTACATTAGGATCACCAACGCCACATAGTTTGGGTGCAATATTTTTGTCCCCAACCTCGCTATTATATTTTGTTCGCATTGCCCAGCGCTTTTTCATCTTCAATGTCATCTGGAAAGCCATTTCCCTTGCCTCTTCAAAATCGTTGTCTGCGTGTGAGGCATAATATGACATTTCACTAAAACATGAGCTTAGTATACCGAACCGGGCTGTCTGTGTTAGGGTGCTAGAAATTTGGGTAAGACTTGGTTGTTGATATCCTGACCTAGTACGTCTTGTCCATCTCTTCAAGACACAACTCGGTGGAATACACATTAATTGTTCAGATTTCATGACAGCAACCATGTGGCAACATGGGATGCCAAACGATTCAAACTTCAAGCAACAACATTTTATTGTGATATCTGCTGGAAAATACTCAACCGTCCATGTGCTTGTTGGTGCCTTGTACTCACCAAAACGATAGGTGTGACGATCCTTCAACTAAACTCTTTCCATCACAAACAATTTACCCTCTTTGTTGATTTCACGTCAAAACAATGAAAAAATCTTCCGAGTAAAGAGCTCAGCTGCATGTTTTTCCAAACTTCTCAATGGCGTAGTCAAAACTGGGAAACTATTCTCTATTTTAGATTCTGTTTCTGCCTCATTAACACGCATCCTAGCAAGAGCCCTATCATATTGTGCTACAAATTCGTATAACTTTACCTTTTGTTCTAGGAACATATTGAAATATGCATTCATACCCTCAACACGTTGAGTGCTCCTCATCCCAGCAAACATGTGACCACGAAGATACGCCTCAGCCCACTTATCATGCTTGCGGTGAATCTCCAACACCCAGTTATTGTTCTCCAACTTGTATTGTTTCACCATACGAACCCACGCATTGTCAAACTCAACAATTTGACATTTCTTTAACATCAACTGTGCGAAATCACTAGTAAATTCTGGTATGTGGACATTTGTTGAGGCATTTTTCTCCAGATGCCAAGAACATAAACGATGTCTGCAATTTGGAATAACTCTTTCGATTGCCTAACGCATTGCCCTATCACCATCTGTTACAACAGAGATGGGTCTTTGTCCATCCATGGCCTTCATTAACGTTTCCAACACCCACGTGTATGTCTCCATTGTCTCATCAGGCAACAAAGCACATCCAAATATGATTGTCATAAAATGGTTACTCACGCCAGCTAGAATCACAAATGGCTTCTTATACTGATTTGTACGATAAGTTGTATCAAATACCAATACATCACCAAATGCAGCATAGTCCATCCGAGACCTACCATCTGCCCAGAAAATCTTGTCCAACCGGTTATCCTTATCGACGTTGTACTTGAAAAAAAATAATGGATCTGCATCTAGTTTAGCTGATAAGTATCCTAAGGCACCCTCTGCATCCCCTTCTGCGAGTTGTACTTTGCGCTCAGCTTGGAACTGGTTATGCAAATCTCTGTGAATGAAGCCCACCTTCTCATAACCCCTTGATTGATGAACCATAAAATCCATGATTTGACTCGTTCTCATACCCACATTGCGCATGGCCTTTGCTTGAGCTTTGTCTTCACTTATAACAAACCTATGTGACCACAAAAAAGGGACGCAGTGTGGTGCTGCCAAGGGATGGTTGTGTTCCCCTACAAAGTGGGTCACAACATATTTTTTAATTGTCTTGTCATAACGCACACGAAATGTGGCACTACAAAAAAGTCTAGTTTCTGCCCTAGGAGTTCTCACCCGTTCCACACGCTGCAAGTATTTCTTCTCTCTTACACCTTCCCTTGAACAAACCCATTTCCTACTCTTTACAAATTTGTTGTCTCCACAAATTCGTTTCCTACTTCTTCGTACGCTAAAACCGATGACCTTAGCGTATGCATTGTAGAAAGAATAAGCATCCTCCTCTGAATTGAATTTCATTTGCAAAACATCAACCTCAGTAAGCATTCGTAAACTATCATAGGTTTGGGAAGCTAACCCTTCTTCTTTCCCATCGACAACATCATCCTTGCCCTCCGGAGCAACTTGATTGTCAATTTTACTGTTGACCTCTTTCTGCCTACTACTTTTAGGTTCATCCGTCATATCCACATAACAAATCGCATAGACAACAGATGTGCACGTAGACAACAGATGTGCAGATTTGGCATTAGTTAAATGCAAATAATAAAAAAGTACACTCGTAAATGCCATTATATAAATTAAAATCAAACAAATCAACAAAAAAACACACCCGCTAGTGCCGTCCTATAAATTAAAATCAAACAAATAAATAAGCACACCTGCTAGTGCCCTGCTATCAATTCAAAGCAAATAAATACAAAAATACACCAGCAAGTACCCTATTATAAATTAAAATATAAAAAAGCACACCCGCTAGTGCTCTGCTTTCAATTATCAATTCTTAAAAGAAAACGAACAAATAAGCACATCCACTAGTGCTTTACTATCAATTAAACGCAAATAATAAGAAAACACACCTTCAAGTACTCTACTATCAATTAAAATGAAACAAATAAATAAAAAAGCACATCCATCAGTACCCTGCTATAAATTAAAAGCAAACAAAAAAATAAGCCCCCCCGCCAATGTTTTGCTATCAATTCAAAGGAAATAAATTCAAAAACACACCAGCCAGTGCTCTGCTTTCAATTATCAATTATTAAAACAAAATGAACAAAATAAGCAACACCTGCCAGTGCTCTGCTTCAATTATCAATTGTTAAAAGAAATAGAAAAAAGCACACTGCCAGTGCTCTGCTTCAATTATCAATTATTAAAACAAAATGAACGAATAAGCACACCCGCCAGTGCTCTGCTTTAATTATCAATTGTTAAAAGAAAATAGAAAAAAGCACACCCGCCAGTGCTCTGCTTTCAATTATCAATTATTAAACAAAATGAACAAATAAGCACACCCATCAGTGCTCTGCTTTCAATTATCAATTGTTAAAAGAAATAAAAAAGCACACCTGCCAGTGCTCTGTTTCAATTGTCAATTGTTAAAAGAAATAGAAAAGAGCACACCCGCCAGTGCTCTGCTATAAATTATCAATTATTAAAAGAAAATGAACAAATAACACACCACAGTGCTTTGCTATCAATTGAACGGAAATAATAAAAAAACACCTGCAAAACTCTACTATCAATTAAAACAAATTAACAAAAAAGCACACCTGCCAGTGCCCTACTTTAAATAATATCAAACAAATAAATAAGCACAACCGCTAGTGCCCTGTTATTTATGGAAAGAAAATAACTAAATAATGCACACTTGCAAGTATCCTATTATCAATTAAAATAAACAAATAAATAAAAAGCACACCGTCAGTGCCTTGCTATTAATTAAAAGTAAATAAATTAAAAAGCACACCTGCCAATGCAATTGCTACGGAGGGAGGGAGGGGGGAGGTATAGCTTCACTTCTACGTTAAGTGTAGAAATTGAGGACCTGTGACAAACAACAACAGAACATCGAAACAGAGTTAGTAAAGAAGACAATACTTAAGGAGATTTATGATTTTGGGGCGAAAAGGAGGATCTATGTATGAAAATATTATTTTGCACATCTTTTCACATTAACAAACTGCATAACCAATAATAGAGATGAAAACTGTACTACTTTTGTTCAAAGAATCAATAACCATTACATAAACAGTTAAACAAATGTACCAACACCAACCGATTAACCACTTAAAAGATAAAAAATAAAAGATCTAGAAAGAAACAAAAAAAAAATTATATATATATATATATATTATGATTGGATGGACTATTGGATCATTTTTTGATAACTCGGTAACCACATATTCCTAAATCTAGATTTTAGATTCAAAAGTTCAATAAGAGTGTGGACACCTCTTAAACACCCATATATATTGCATATTGCATAATATTTTTGATAAAATATTGTCAATTATTTAGGAATATACGTCAATTTGTATCTCTATTCGTTTGAGACGAAATGTGTTTACTTGCTAATGTAATTGTCTTCTTCTTCAAATATTATATAAAATTAGTGAATTTAATTGAGTTTTTGCACCCTTAATCTTGTCATATTTAGTGAACACAAGTATAAATGGAAAGAAGTAAAAGATTATGTAACACATTTGTTAACCTAATGTCTATTTTAGTGCTTCGGATTGCAACATACAATTCTTATATTGAATTCACTCATGCCAATTAACAAAGAAGCCAGCCCACCACCCCTCTCTATCTTATACAGGTACCTTCATTGGATCTTTACCAAAGTATTTAAAGATAGTTGCTTTCACTAGTATAATAATATATCATGAAAACAGTGAATTTGAAGAAATTTTTAGTATGTAGGACATAGTAGCAGAAGTGATGAGTACGTGTTGTCACTACCACTATTGCTATGAATCAAAAAAAAAAAAAAACAAATAAAGTTGTCTCCATTAACTTGGGAGATTGCTCCATAGTGTCACCCTGAAAGTTCCATGAAAGCTCTTCTAAATCTTTCATTTTCATGGACAGCCTTGTTCTTGGTAATTAAACTAGTTTTATGAGTGAAGAGATGATATAGGATCAGTATCTTCTACAACGAAGTAGAGACGACAGTGGACATAGGACATAATGATTTTAAAAAAATTAGGATGCCTACATGGTGGGCAAATTTTTAAAATACTTTTATTGTTTATGTATATGAATATAAATTTAGGGCATAGAAATATACGAGGCATCAATATATATGTACATGTACTTTTTTGTTTTTTAACTTCTACCCTTCTTTGTTTCTGTATAGTTTAAAATAGAGAAAAACACTAAGTTGCCAAATGAGACCGTAATATAAATATGAGGTTCAAGTACTAGTTCTTTCATAGGATTCCACACACAAGCACACAGTGCACCAAAATCTACAAGTTCTTTCATAGGATTTCACACACAAGCAGATTTAGCGTATACAGTGGATGTGGATCCCAATAGGAACTACTCCATTTGGTTGCATTTTGCAGAGATTGATACTTCTGTCACTGGTATAGGTCAAAGGGTATTTGACATCCTAATAAATGGTGATATTGCTTTTCAAGATATTGACATTGTGAACATGAGCGGGGATCTTTACAGTGCTCTTGTACTGAACAAAACTGTTGCTGTTAATGGGAGAACTTTGACAATAACCTTTCACCCTACAAAAGGTCATGCCTTAATTAATGCTATTTAAATCCTTGAGGTTATTACGGCAGAGTCTAAAACTTTGCCAGATGAAGATAAATATGCATTCCTTAATTTTCAAATGTTTGAGAATTTGTTTTACTGTTTGACTTTGAAGAGGTTGCTAGATTCATGTTTATTTAAAGAGTAATGATATACAAATAAAAAATTTACTCACAACATCTATACATAATTATTTGTCAAATTTATATTCATCCATTTTGAATCAAAAGACCCAAAAAAGTGACATTATTTCGAAACTGCCATCGAAACTTGATGATGCCTTACGATTTGTACCCTGTGATAATGTTGAAACTACCTCCCTAAGAAACTCTACCGCTTGGTTTCTAGAGGAAAATTTTGATATTAAACAAGGGTATCAAAAAAATTTTTTTTTTTTTGGATAAATAATAAATGAGGGTATCAATGTTGTTAAGAAAGTTTTTTTAAAAAAAAAAAAACTCTAAATTAAATGTCCACGACTGTCTTCATACTAGATCATATAGTGGAGATGGAGAAAAGAAGTTTAAAGAACAAATAGAACAAGAAGTTTAAAACCAATTCAAAGAAGTTGATCATTTGTTTGAAGTGATTGGAACCATGCATGGATTGTGTGTCAATCTAAAAGAACAAAAATGGAGGTATAACGGAGATAACCACTTGCAGGAGTTTCTTCTTCAACCCAATAGATAAAAGAGCAAGTAAAATAAGTCTCTAACTCTAAATTTCTTCTGGCGGGTTAAAATTTGTCCAATTTTTTAGTATTTAAAAGAAAATATTGTTAACTCAATATTTTCTTATTTTTTTTACATTTGATTAGTTAGTTTATAGTTCGGTTAAAAAAATTATTAGCCTTAAGAGTTTATCTATACAAGTGGTTTGGTTGTGATAAACAGAACAGATCTGGTATTATGATACTTTTGATAGACATTAGACAATGCTAAAAACCAGTCCACAATAGCCTAAGTACCCATAAGAACCAAGTTATGAAATCATTACAAAATTAGTTTTTTTAACTCATGTGCCCAATTCCCACACCACAATAGAAAAATTCTCTGTATGTTTTCTCTTCAAGTATGATAAACTGTCTATTTATATTAATATAGTTAGATAAAGGTTCATATACTGTTAAAATCTTCCACATTACCCATGAGAAAATGAAAAGGATGGAAGCTGCAATATAGTATTCTAAGAAATAGAAATACGAGAAAGAGCAACAGAACACTGATAATGAATCATGAAAATATAAAATGTGAGAAAGGGATTGCGATCTAGGGTTTCATAGGCCAACTCAAGGATTGCGGTTTAGGTATTTTCCTATTTTTATCAACCAACCCAGTGAGTTCACAAACGTGAAAGCGGCAGTTTCAAAGAAAGGGATTGCGGTCTAGGGTTTCATAGAATGGATATGGAGAAAGGGGGAGAGAAAAAAGTTACAGAGAGAGAGAGAGAGAGAGAGAGAGAGAGAGATACCTTTAGGCGAAGTCGAGGGTAGGTCTTGCTCGCAGGGATGGTCTTCGAGGATGGTCTTCGAGGGTGAAGAAGAGGAGAGTGTCTCTGTGCTATCTCAAAAACAGGGGCTTTGGGAAAAAAACTGAACAAATTTGAAAAAAAGGTAACCGGTTAAAGAGGTTGTCAATATTTCTAATCAAATTATTCAGTGGCTGAGATTAATTTGTAAAAATCTAATGGCTTAAAATAAATGTGTATATCATGTGCACATCTTATTGAGGTGCACATCTTAACAGCTCCCGGTGTTATATTTATATTTTTAGGAAATTAAAGTGTTATATATATTTTTTGTTATTTAATTATGTAAATCCGTGGTCCTAAACTGATCCAATCCGTGATTAAATGGATTCATTTGGATTGGTTTCACGATTTAAATGGATTGGATTGGTTCCAATTTTTCAGGAATCGTAGATAACGGATTGGTCCTGGTTTTATCCCAATCCGGTCCAATCCGGACCATGCTTACCCCTACTTTTTTTCTTCTTCTCCCGATGTGGGATTATAAAATAAATCATAAACTAATTAAAATTTTATTTTTATATGGTTAAATGAAAGTTAGCTAATGGTTATCCTTCTTTTTCCGATGTGAGAATTGTTTCACTTATATAAAGTAAAATGTTTAAAATTAAGAAAATTAGTATGAGATATTGAAACTCTAACAAAACTCCTCACTAAAAATCCCTTTTCCTTATATAACATATAGATAGATGTGGAGTATAAGATTCACTTTATATAGTTGAAACAACTCATTTTTTCTTTCTTTTTTTAATGTGGGATTATAAAATAAACCATAGATTAATTAGAATTCTTATTTTAAAATTTAAACTGTCTTGAACAGAATTATGCACAACACTATAATATTAAATGGACATTTACACACAAGCTCTAATTTATGAACTTATACTCCATTAAATCCTAATTAAGATTTTTTGGACCTTTAAGTCTCACTAAATTTTTAATAGTAAGAACTGCCCTTAAAACAATTATTATTCATCATTTATGATTATTTATAAAAGAACATGAAGATTTGACATTTATTTTGATTTCCAAAATTTTAAAACATCAACTTTCAAATTGAAAAACTTAATATATATATATATATGTGTGTGTGTGTGTGTGTGTGTGTGTGAAAAAAATTAAAAAATTGAAAAAAAAAATTGAATTATTTTTTTATGCAAAACTGAAAATTTTGTGTTTGCAAAAGAGGATGATGATGGAACAATGATGTACAAAACTAGAAAAAAAAAATTAAATTGAAAAAACTGAATGTTCTCAGTTTTAAAATTGGAAAAAAAACTGTTAATATTCTCGGTTTTATTAGATAATTGAATCAAATTAATAAGTAGAAAGGCAAAACTTTAATCTCATGCTCTATTTTTTTCATCAGTTGGTGAAACTATTATCTAGAACATTACTTGCAAAATTGATAATGTTCTTAATTTTAAAAATTAGGAAAAATTGAAAATATTCTCAGTTTTATTAACCTCGTTTGGCAAGTGGTTTTTTTAGCCAAAAAGTCAAAAAGTCACTAAAAAAATCAAAAAGCCAACAACCCATGCCAAAAAGTCAAAGATTCATTTTTTTCTCTACTTTTTACACATCTTTTCATAAGAAGCCAAAAAGTCATCCCAAACATACTAGTTTTTTTCATATCACATTATAGCTAAAAAGTTACTAAAAAAACCTGTTCCCAAACGAGACATTAATGGTTCTAAAAATCTTAAATAAGACCTGAGCTATTATAACATTTGTAAATAGGACTTTTAGGTAATTAACTCAATATTAAATAAAAGTATAAGATTCACTTATATAAGTGAAACAATTTACTTTTATAAGTGAAACAATTTACTTTTTTCTTCTTCTCCTGATATGGGATTGTAAAATAAATCATAGACTAACTAAAGTTTTATTTTTATATGGTTAAATGGAAGCTAGTCAATGGAGATATTTTTAATTGTTTAAAATTAAAAAAAATTAAAAATTAAAAATTAATATAAAATATTAAAACTTTCACAATACTCGTCACTAATTTTTTTTTTTACTTATATAATATAGAAATTATAACCAATTTATTTAAACGATACGAAATAACCCGCGAAAGGGACTTGGTGGCATCTACCTTTGTTGGAAGCGTACTCCAATAAAGACAAATCCAATCAACATCCTAGAAATTAAATTCCATACCCATTTAGTCACATAAACATGTTATCAAATAAATGCATAACATTACACATAAGTCTCTAATAAGCGAGACAAACCCATCGTGGTACTAACCACTTCCCACGCACCCAAAGTATTCAAACCCGGTACGCTCTGATACCAAGTTGTAACGCCCTAAAAATAATACATAAACCCAACATTCAAGATATCCATAGACATACGAGAATAAAGCATATTTCCATTTATCAGAGTATTCATTACGAAAGTATTACATGTTGACAACAAAAGTAAATGCCCTACAAGCTTACAACTTTCCAAGCCAACACTTGGTTACAAAAAGAGAGTACTAACTCAAATACGCATTAAGCCCTTGGCTTGAATTTACATGCAATACCAAAAGAGAATAACAAAAAGAGCTATCAGCCTCAAAACCTCCCAAGCTACATCCTAGGAGGTGGCATATCACCTGAACCTGAAAATGATGTCCCATATAGGGTGAGCCAAAGCCCAGTAGAGATATACTAAACCACATATGAGAAATAACTAAAACATTAGCATTAGTTAACCGATTAACACATGTAAATCAACTTACAACACATCCTAATTCCATGACAAATACGTACATGTTCCATTCCACCTTCCTTTATTCATCCAGTTTGAATATATAAACATGGCTCATTATCTAGCCAACAATTTAAATGAGCCTACAACTAATTAAAACACTTCCATACTTCAATTATCATTGCAATCCATCCCCTATCTCCACCCAAACAGGTTTGAGAGTACATCCCCTATCTTCTCTCAAACCATCTTCTCTCAAACCATGGAGTACATCCCCTATCTCCTCCCAAACAATATATATATGCAATGTATTTAAACAGTTCATCATATACAATTATCAAAATGTATTCTTTCAATCGTCAATCTCAATGACACATTCGAGTGATTAGTTTCAGTTTGCCTAATCATCATGCATTGTCTACAACAATCATCCTCCACCGATAGCCCAAAGCAGTTATTTCTAAACAGAAAATAAATGCACAAATGGATATTTAATGAACATTTCAATCCGGTGTGTGATAGATAATTCAACTACACCCTTTAACCCTTTACATTTCCAATCTCAACAATTTCATTTCATTTCCTCATTTCTAACAATTAATTATCCCAATTAATCAATCAATGTAATTAGGTCATTTTCCATAATTACCATTTCAACCCTTAGGTCCCATTTTCATCAATGATTTAACATTTATTTCACTTCTCTATGCCAAACATGCATCTAGGTTTATTATGTATAAAACCCCAACTTTTGTAAAAAATAACACAAGAGCCCCAAACTTTCACAAAATTACCAAACCAACCCCAACTTCTCAAAATACCAAAATTTAAAGACAAAATCCATAGAGAGGAGTAGGAAATACCCACCTCAAATTCGGAGCCCTCAAAGGAGAAGATGACAAAACCCACGTTCTCTCAAAACTCGAAATTTTCAGATTAAAATGTAGCCCTCGACGATCAACAACCTTTTTGTAAAGGCCAAAGATGAGCAAATCACTCCTACTAGATCAAAACCTAGAGAGAAGGTAGTATCTAGAGAGAGAGGCTCACCAATGGTGTTTTTGGAAAAGTAGGAGAGAGAAGAGAAAGTGAAAAAGTGATTTGAAAAGTCAAACCACGGAACTTAAACCCAGTCGACCCGCTCGAGCGTAAAACACCCCGCTCGAGCGTCACTCACAGACTCCCGCTCGAGCGCCAACAATCCCGCTCGAGCGCCGAATACACACTCCCAGAACTTTTACAGAACCAGGTCTCCGCTCGAGCTTCCAACTCCCCGCTCGAGCGGAACTCACACAACCCTGCTCGAGCGGCCAATACCACGCTTGAGCGTCCAACACTGCACAGAAAATACTGGAAAGGTGCAATTCCCGCTCGAGCGCCAAAACCCCCGCTCGAGCGGACAGGTCAAAATCTGGGCAACTAGTTTTGGTTTCTAAACTCAACCAACCTGTAACAAACCTGCCCAACACATCCCATAACTCAAATACCAAATAAGAAAGGATGTAAACAAGATAATAAACAACTACCAACATCCACGGACATATGTCCGGATCACTGTATAACAAGGGTAAAACCGAGATCGCTATAAATTGAAATATGCACAACACTACAATATTAAATGGGAATATAAGATTCACATTTATATAAATGAAACAATGTACTTTTTTCTTCCTTTCTCGATGTGGGATTATCAAATAAATTATAAACTAATTAGAGTTTTATTTTTATATGGTTAAATAAAAGCTAATCAATAGAGATTTTTTTAATTGTTTAAAATTTAAAAAAATTAAGACAATTAGTATGAGACCTTGAAGCTCTAAAACCGCTAAAATCATGGGTAAACCAACGAATCAGTCAAATAAAAAATGATTCAACCCAATTGGTTAGGTTAAAAGACTAACCAACTTACAAAAAAAATTAATTTATTAAAACTTTTAAATTTTATTATAAAATTTAAACTATATTGAATTGAAACTTGCACAATACTACAAAATTTGGGAATATAACATTCACTTTATAAAAGTGAAACAATTCACTTTTTCCTTCTTTTCTCGATGTGGGATTATCAAATAAATCATAAACTAATTATAGTTTTATTTTTATATGGTTTTATGAAAACTAGCGACGGGGATTTTTTTAATTGTCTAAAATTAAAAAAAATTAAGAAAATTAGTATGAAACTTTGGAGCTTTCACAAGTCTTCTCACTAAAAATTCCATTTTTCTTATCTAATAAGACTAGCATATCACCTGTGCTATGCACAGGATAAAATAATATATTATTTAATAAAAATATAATAATTATATTTAATTTTTTTATATTATGTAAAATAAAAATTAAATGGAAGCTAACCAATCGGAT